GTCCCAGTTCCCACTCCCTCCCCTCCACCTCTCTCCTCCTTCCCCCAACCCCCATCCACTTCCCAGAGAGGGTAAGGCACATGGCTTTGGGGAAGGGCCAAGGCCCTCCCTACTGTATCTAGGCTGAGCAAGGTATCCCTCCAAAGAGAATGGGTTCCGAAAAGCCAGTACAAGCAGTAGGGATAAATCCTGGTGCCACTGCTAGTGGCCCCTCAGTCTGCCCAGCCATACTGTCACCCACATTCCAAGGGCCTAGTTTGGTCCTATGCTGGTTCCTTCCCTGTCGAGCCAGAGTTGGTGACCTCCCATTAGCTTAGGTAAGCTGTTTCAGTGGGTATCCCATCATGGTCATGATCTCTTTGCTCATATTCTCACTCCTCCCACTCTTCGATTGAACTTCAGGAGCTCAGCACAGTGCTCCGCTATGGCTTTCTGCCTCTTCTTCCATTAGTTTAAGCTGAGTTTTACTCTACTAAATGCATGGATGAAAAATACAATCAAAACAATACTTTCAGTTGTTAAATTTAGCTTGCTCAAAGTATTTACTCATTGCAAAGGGTGTTGTGTGCTGTAGACTAACTGCCAGAACACTTGCTCATCTGCAAACTGTAGAAAATACTTAGCAGGTGTCTTAATAGAACATTAACCACATTATTTTTCTTCTTAGACCAGAGGGATTATATCTGTGAATATTGTGCTCGGGCCTTCAAGAGTTCCCACAATCTGGCAGTACACCGAATGATTCACACGGGCGAGAAGCCATTACAGTGAGTATTTACTTACTATTGAATATCTCGGTAGGAAGGAGTACATTTACCTCACTTGGAGGTTTGTAGTCCATTATAAACATTTCAGTTGTCACCGCTATTTGACTTTCTAAGTGAAAGACTAGATAATCTTATTAGTTTGAGAATTTATTCTGCCTTAACCACTTCCCACCCAGCCCAGCCCCCTTTTTTGAAATAAGCCATAGAACCCAGTTTGTACTGCCTATATATTTGAGGATAGGACTGCGCTTTCTTTTCTTTTTCTTTTTTTTTAATTTTCTTTTTTGCTGTTTCTTAAGCAAACAATTTTTTTAGTTAGATTTCCATCTAGTAGTTTCCTATTCATAAAATGTATGTGCTACAGATTAGTATGTATATACATTTTTTCAGTTCTCACTTGGCCCTTGATAGAGTTCTGCTTGATCATTCATTTCCTTTGGATTTTCTTTAGATGTGAGATCTGTGGATTTACTTGTCGACAAAAGGCATCCCTTAATTGGCACATGAAGAAGCATGACGCAGACTCCTTCTACCAATTTTCTTGCAATATCTGTGGCAAAAAATTTGAGAAGAAGGACAGTGTAGTGGCACACAAAGCAAAAAGCCACCCTGAGGTGCTGATTGCAGAAGCTCTGGCAGCCAATGCAGGCGCCCTCATCACCAGCACAGATATCTTGGGCACTAATCCAGAGCCCCTGACACAACCTGCAGATGCACAGGGGCTTCCTCTCCTTCCTGAGCCCTTGGGAAACTCAACATCTGGAGAGTGCCTACTGCTAGAAGCTGAAGGGATGTCAAAGTCATACTGCAGTGGGACAGAACGGGTGAGCCTTATGGCTGACGGGAAGATCTTTGTGGGAAGCGGCAGCAGTGGGGGCACTGAAGGGCTGGTCATGAACTCGGATATACTCGGTGCTACCACAGAGGTTCTGATTGAAGATTCAGACTCTACTGGACCTTAGTGCAAAGGAAGACTTTGGGCACTGGGACAGTGCAGACTTTGTATTTAAAAGACAAAAAAGGACAAAAAAAATTTAAAGCATTTAAAATCTAGTAAAATAACTGAAGGGCCTGCTCTTTGCATTGTGGATCACAGCACACACACACACACACACACACACAACTCACACAGAGAGAGACTTTGTCTCATCCCTTCCTTCCTTTCGCCCCCTCTCCTGAATTTCCCTCCCTTATCCTTAAAATACTGATGTTGCCTTTACCAGAAAGGTCATTGAAAAAGCAGCAGTATACTTGGTTCCAGCCAGCAGCTGACTTCCTGCTCATCAGCAGATCTCCTTTTCCCAACCTATAACTGATGTGCTCTGGATCAGCTTTTAACTCATAGTAGTATCATCTAAATCTTTTCTCCTCTACTGCTGCCCTATGGCTCTGGCTTCTCCCCATTGCAACAACCAACACTTATCCTCAAATATTATATAATTCTATTTTCTGGAGGCTGGCAGCTTGACTTGGCACTTTAGAGCCCCTTAGCAGGATGCTGTTAAAACAGCACACATCTCACCCTCTTCCATTACTCACTGGGTTTGGGGAAGGAAGGATACATGGGGACCACCTCCCTCCCCTTCAGTGGATCCCAGCACCTCAGTCCCCCCTCCTAAACCTCCATATGGCTCTTAATGGTGCTCAATTGCTTGGAAGCAGGCTCCCAAGAAAGAGGGGACTGCCCTATGTACAGTCTTTCTGACTGTAAGACAGGGCTCTATGTCAGTGAGAAAAGTCCCAGGCTAATGGCAGAAATTTGCACTTTGAACATGTGTGTTTTTGTGTTGTGGAACCTGAGATTCCTTATTTATTAATGGAAAGTCTGATTTTTTTTGGGGGGGTGGGTCTTTGTTGCTATGTTTTGTGGGGCTGGGAGAGTAGATTATTCTGACATGGGATCCTTCCTATAAGAGGTACTTTGAAGGCAAGGCTTAGAGTTACAGAAGCACAGCCAGCCTCTAAAATCATAGTTTTCCAGTGGCCTTTACAGAAAGCTGGTCCTCAGCACTAACAGAATCACTACAGTAGCCTAGTGCTTTTTTGGAAGCCTTAGGGAAGGTTGATGGGTTTGTGGTAACTAGAGTGCTCTTGGAGATACACAAGGATTTGAAGGGATGAGGAATGTTATTCAAGGTCTGAATCACAAAAGATTTTTTCTTCTGTGAATTTTTTTTCTTTTTGTCCTCACCATTTCTGTGCATTAATCTCCCTGCTGACCTAATTCCAACCCCTTGTTTTGATTGTGGTTTTGGTTTTGTCATTGGTTATTCCAGCTCTTGATTAGTGGAAGACCAGACCCTGTCATTCATGAAGGACAAAATTAAGAGTTCTAGAGTTTGGGTTTAGAGAAAACTGGTGTGTCATATTTCTTCTGTAGAAGGAACAAAGTTTGAATAGACAAAAGCAAAGGTAAAAAATCTGTGTGATAATATCTTTGGCTGTCCCCAAATTATCTATTTTCCTTGGAGTAGGGATTTTTAGTGCATTGTGGATTATCACTGTCATTGGGAGACGCAGATTGTGTTTTTACATGCTTATACCTCTCAGAAGACTAAAACCCTAATTGAGCATTGAGCTCACTTTTTTGAGAATTAGGAATGCAGTTCCTCCCTGTGTGCTTCAGAATCTGCCATTGAAGACCTGGCCAGTTACCAGAAATACATGATGACTGTTGGGAAAATTAAGAGTCTGGGAACAAAATAAGGAACAGCTTGTTTTTCACAAACACTAAAGCTATGGAGTTTATCAAATTTTCTCTGCTTAATTTTTTTTTCCCCAAAAAATGTCATCTCTGAAAGACGCTTACTGTACACCCACCAAGGTCACTGGTTGGGATGCCGGGGAGGAGGGCGGAAGACACCTACAGGAACAGTCTTAAACACATTATTGTTTCCTCTAAAGTGTTGCAGATTTGCCATCCTTCCCCTATCAGGGGAGAGAAGGCATAAAGATAGGCTTTCCTGCCCCACAGTTTGACTTTGTTGCATTGATTTGAAATGTGCATTGACTTGGGTGCGTTGGTACACAGATTTGGAAATACTGCAAGAGCAATTATAGATGGGACTGCAGCAGAGTTGCTCTACGTGATACTGTTTCTCTACCTAATCTCTGTATCCTACACTTAGCCTTGGCTTTTCACATTAGACTGATTTCATTAGAGTGGTTACTCATCAAATATAGCCACCCACAGAAAAGCAGACTGCATTGTAAACATCTCTTCTTTCTGGGACGGGGAGAAATACGTTCTTTTCTGTACCTCACTCCCCTCCCCACGAAAGCAACTAGTTATAATAATTAGAAACTTCCTGTCCTCTCATTTGGGGGAGGGGGCGAAAAGGGGACTTGGGTCATCTTCATAGCTACCGTTTGCTGACAATAAATTATTGTAGCAGTTTGCAATAAATTTTAAAATATTTTTCATGAACTTTATTTTTTTCTTTTGAGAACAAGTGCTAGCATAGTAAAAGTCTATATGAGCAAACTAAGCACCATTACCAATTCCTTTATTCCCATGCCACTCATTTAATTGTCCTTTAGAGTCCTTTTAATCTTAAAAATTTATAGATATTTCATAATCATATCTTATTATCTTTTAAATAACTAGTCATACCTCCATTTTCAATTGGCAATTCCAAATTTTATGGATATAGTTGTGATAATTATTCGTTATTTCTGGGAGTTGTGCATACTCCTTGCTGGCATATTTTTGCATAATTAGACCCTTACACATTTTACAGGGTTTAGTCGGACACTGGCTGGGAGTCCTGGGAATGAGCACAGAAAACATCGTCATAGAGCACTTGGACCTCCCTCGCACCTGTTCGGAGGAAGATTGTGAACTCTACCACCAACCTAAGTGAGGTCTTACAGCCTTGCTACAGAACAGTTTCGCTCCTGTCTTTCTTCCAATTTTCCATATACTCAAGAAAATCAGAACATTGTAATGGGGCAGTTATATTTCCTAAAAGCTTTTTTTGCCTGTTGAAATATGCAGGACCGACCCTTTTCCTGTGATGAGAGATAGGTGGTTACTTGATCTAGGTTTAAAAGTTATGTAAAAAAAATTATAATAAAAGGGATACTTTGCTTTTAAAAATCTTGTTTCCTCTTAATCTAGGTAATCATATTCAAAATAAGTATGTAAAGAAAAAAATAAAAGTTGTCTTCCTGGAAGCTTGTCTTCCTTGGTTGTACTGAGTTAGTCATCCAAGAGTAAAACAGTTGATGCTGTTAAATGAAGAAAACAGATGCCTCCAGGGTAGGCTTTTGTATGCTGCTATTTGCTCTTTATTGAAAGTTGGGTAGCGGTTCTAATGCTGAGATGCCTCGTAGCTCTGTATTTGGCAGACTCCAAATGGGTGTTTCAGTTGCTTGTTTGAGGTTATTAAAGATACTGTGAAGTACAGTTTACTCTGATAATGACAGAACCTTGGTTGCATTTAACATTAGTGCTTCTTGACAACGCTTTTAATACCCATGTCAAGTTAGAATTTAAAAAAGAAAACGTAGTCTAATTTTGATTAAAAGTTCAGTGGCAGTCATTCCTCATTTATTGTTTGCCTATGTCAATTCGTTCCTGAGATGGTCTATATTTGAACTTCTTGGCAACATCTGATATGAAATAAGGACAGTCACTGACCCATTTGAGGACGAAACTTGGAAACTTCAGGCAATAGCATCACCCAGTGACTACAGTACAATAGAATGAAAGCTCTGTAAGCACCTTTTAACTCTTTTTGTCCTCACTTCAAAACCTTGTTCATTCTCTTGTTAGCATGGAGTATGACTGGGACTGGGAAGAAAAAGAAGCATGTTGTCACTTGAGTAAAACTGCCTGAGAAATGTTACCAAGTAGGGTTGGGTGTTTCCTTTGGGAGAGAACAGGCCTAAACAGTGCCTTTCACATCCTGTAGCTACTAGGAAGGCTCCATGATTGAGATTAGAGATGCTCCTTTAGCTAATTATAAACAAGTTTAACCTTATAAGGGATAGGAATGGAAAGATGCTACAAAAGGCCTGCATCACATAGTCTTTGTCTCTTGCACAAAACAGAAGCTGTACAAAGAAGTCATAAATTTGGAAGGGGGAGAATAAACCCAAAGACCAGTGTAGGAACACAAGTCTAGTTTATTGGATTAACTTCTTTGAGGAAAGTTTTTTATGTCAAATGAGAACACTTTTACCTCCAAAAAATACTAATATTTAGCCCAGAATTAATATAAGAATCATGAAGTTTAAATATTGGAGCATATTATCTGACCCATTTGATAAATGGCACTTAATAATATACTTTGCCATGCTAAAGAAAAATTTAGGCTGTAGAAAGCAGAATAAAATCAACAGATTGTATGTGTAAATAACAGACTATATTAGGCAGGGGTGGGTGTCATGAGGATTAGTGTGATAGTGACCTTGTTGCTAAGTACAAAAGCAAAACAATGACATAAAAACAAGTGCTGAATACTGAGTGGAGGAGAGAGATGGAGGCAGACACTGTGGGGGGAAAAAGACTGATTAAAAGGGCTCTTTGATTCCACAGGCACAAAAATCCACAGCCAGGAATTTGCTGCCACCTCTGAGTCAGGCAGGGGGTGGGGATGGGGGTGCACAATCCCATTAGAGAATGCCCAGTGGAGTTAGTCTGTGGGAGTCACATTTCTTATTTGGCCCTGTGAAGACAGAAGCAAACCAGCTCACTTGTTTCCTGGGACAGTTGATTTAGGGGATGGCTTTTGCAGAGAATTCACCTCTGACCCTGCACCGCCGGGACCTCTGTAGCCGTTCTATCTGGCTAGCAAGGAAGATTCGCTCAGACCTGACTGCTCTTATGGAATCTTACGTAAGTTGTCTATTTTGCTGTTGTCTGTTTTTAACTCTTCTAGTTCAACTCTTAACCATCATGTTCCAACCCCATAACCAGTTATGAAAGCTCTAGTCTTAATGGTCATTCATATATTAAACACCTATAATTTGGCATGGCTTCTCCTTTGAGAAAACTCATGTAACCTTAACTATCTTGAGACAGGTCTTTTGAGTGAGAAGATGGAATATTTGGTTGCCTTTTTTCTGAACCTTATCAGAATAGACAGTAGACTTTAAGTTTTGGTTCTTCATAAGATTTTTGAGCTTTGTAAATAAAAGGGTTGTAGGATTAGGAAGAACCTTATGGGATTTTAGAGAAAGTTTAGTTTCCCTCTGAACAGTATAAGCTACCTATGTACGTTTTAATTTTCTACATCAGAAGTATACCTGTAACTAAAAAGATTCCCTAGGATATTCACTAGAGTTTTGTGAAAATGTTAAATTAACCATGCAGTTCTTGACTTGTTTTATCATGAAAGGCCTCCATCTAAAGGCCTGCTATGATAATATTCCAAGCCTCTGGTACAGTTACAAATTTATGTTCTCTGAGAACTGGTAACTTGAAAAGCCTTGCCATTTATAAGACTAATGGTTACCCTATTAAAGCCAGTTCCTATTGTATTGTAAAGGGTTGATCTCACTGTGAGAGTGGACATTGGGGAGAGTGAAGTTAAGGTAGCGCTGCAAGATCATGGCTCCCCAAATGAAGGGTTTCTATTTACAACTTGGATCATTGGCTACAGAAGTGTTTGTGATTGGAGAATGGGATTGAGATGATAATGGAACATATGTTTTACTCTGTCCTTGGCCAGCTGAAGCATCAGGGCCTGAATAAAAACATCAACCTGGATTCTGTGGATGGCGTGCCAGTGGCAAGCACTGATCGCTGGAGTGAGCTGACTGAGGCAGAGCGACTCCAAGAGAACCTCCAGGCTTACCGTACCTTCCACAGGATGTTGGCCAAGCTTTTAGAAGACCAGAGGGTGCATTTCACCCCAGCTGAAGGTGACTTCCATCAGGCAATACATACTCTTCTGCTCCAGGTTTCTGCCTTTGCCTACCAGCTAGAGGAGTTAATGGTGCTGCTGGAACAGAAGATCCCTGAAAATGAGGTTGATGGGACGCCTGTTGCTGTTGGAGATGGTGGCCTCTTTGAGAAGAAGCTATGGGGCCTGAAGGTCCTTCAAGAGCTTTCACAGTGGACCGTGAGGTCTATCCATGACCTCCGAGTCATTTCTTCTCATCAGATGGGAATCCCAGCACATGAGAGCCATTATGGGGCCAAGGACAAACAAATGTAGCAGTTAGCCCTTCCCTCTCATTTTTTGTTCTGCGGAGATATAGGTAGTTCCCTGTGGCCTTGTTTTCCCAGAACCAATTTTTGAAAACCTTAAACCACAAGCAGTTTCATGAAGTAGGCTTGACCACATTTGAACGGATATACATGGTTATTCTGGGTGTATGCATGTGTAGGAACATTTTTGTTTGGACCGGTGGTATAATAGAGTAGAAACAAGGGAAATATCCTCCCACCTTAGAGCTTTAATGTCCCTGATACTGATACTAAGTGACCTTTCTAGGCATTTTACAGCTTGTCAAGCACAAGAGAAATTGTAACTAGTTGTGATTGACTTCTGAAAAGACTGAATAAACAAATTAGAAGTCCTAGCCTATCACCATTCAAACTACCATAGTAATATTGGTGTGCTGAGGCAATGAGTGCCGTAGCTTTATGTATATTCTATATAACTTTACATCTTTGTCTCAGAAGGTTAGATGTGTCTTGTGATCTATCCCTAGCACTGAAAAGCAAGCAGCCTTTTGTTAAATATCCTCAGAAGTCAGCAGCAGATGTCCAAGTGTTTGTTGGCCATACCTGACAAAGAACAGCAACTACAAATCTTAAGATTTCATTTGGGTGAAAAATGGGGCCCAGTGTACTTCCATACTTGGAAACAGAGGATATGCGATAACAGAGTGGTTAGGGTTGACTGTGTACTTGAGTATTGGGCTAATCATTGTTTATAGGAAATTAACAGATCAGTGATACAGGTACGATATATAGATACTCGATAGTGAGTGGAATGTTGAGGTTAAAGATCACAGAGCTCCATCACCTTACATTCTCTGGGCTTACTCATGAGGGGAGGATGAAGTCTAGTTGGTCCCCACTGAGAATGCCAGGGATTCTTAAACAACACAGGAACGCTCTGCTTTTGATGTTCTTGTGAGAGCCACACAGCGTGGAAGACTAGGAAACAGATGTCCCTGGAAAAGATCTGTGCATTAGTGGTGTACTGTGATTCCAACAGTTTGTATCATTTGGTTTTTACTTATTTTTAGATAAACCTGAGAGATCTTGAGTTGAGGGCCCAAGTCTAATCATGACATCTTGCTTCATAAATGAGTGAACTATGCATGAGTCAGAGAGGGCTAACTTCCATAAGTTGCATGAGGTGGGGATATGTGACTCATCTTGTGTGCTCTCCTATAATGGGTTCCATAAAGGCTAAAACTCTGATTTAAGTACATGACCATACTCAGTCAAGCATTGTAGTAGCTCAGGGGAAGTGAGACTATGTTTTCTACTATGCATTTGTGAAAATACAGTTGTATATGTATAAAATAAAAAGATCAAAACTAGAATGGGATTATAAAGAACTAAAAGAGATCATTTAAAGCGACAAGTAAATGTGCTTCCTGGGTTGGTGGAGTATAATACAGAATAAACTCCAACAGAGCAAAAAATAAAAGAGAGAGAGAGAGAGAGAGAGAGAGAGAGAGAGAGAAAAGAACAAGAAGTTGGCTCATGAGCATGTCTGGACCCGGACCCAGCATCATAAAGGCCTATTTTGTTTAATTCCATTTGTGATTGTGGTATACATATTTTTCATTACGATAAAGTCTTATTTCATTTGTGCTTATTAAGTTCTGTTTGTCAGGAGCATCTTCCATTTAATAAAGTGTATGTTAACAAGACTCATGTTTAAAGAAGAAAAGTGTCTAAAATTTCATTATGAGGAATGACAAGATTACGAACAATCTGCACCACGAGTGACCCCTCTTCTAGGAGTTTTATTTTTAATCTCACAGGTGTAACAGATATTGCAGGATTCTCAGAAATCAGTGAGTCTAGCTTGAGCTCTAATGAGTTACATGTGAAAGAATGTGTATATAGGTTTCAATTGGAAGGCAGCCCAGACAAAGTACAAAAATTGAATGAGAAGAAATAGGAAGATGTCTGAGACTTTAGTGCCCTGCCCTACTGTGTTGTCATATTCATCTTTAAGAAACTTGGTAGTGCATGGCAGCATCCCAGGCACTCAGGAAACTGAAGGATTGGGAGTTTGAGGGTAGCTTGGACTACATAGTAAAAATGTACACACACACACCCCAAGAAGAAAAATAGAAATTTAAAGTATGTCAGCTATGTGTAGAAATCCTTCAGGGAAAAAGGCGGGGGGGGGGGATGAATGGGAGATGTCTCAGTGGGTAAGAGTATTTGTCCTAAAAGCATGAGAATTTGAATATATACCCCAAAACATGTAAAAGCTGCTTGCATGGTTGTGTGTGCCTGTATCGCCAGCATTGGTGAAGAGGCAGAGTGGATCCTGGGAGCTCACTGTGTAAGTGTCCTGTGACATTATTTCAAGACAAAGACAATAATAGATGACTCTTGGTATCCCTCTCTGACCTCAGCATGCATGCAAATTCACATGTACCACACATGCACACACACACACACACACACGAATTTTTATCAAAGGGAGGGGGAACGGGGCATGGTGTGTACCTTTAATCACAGTACTCAAGAAGCAGAGGCAGGAAAGTGCAGAGTTCAAAGCCAGTCTGGTCCTGTCCTTGAGTGTCTCAAGGGGAGGGGGAATAAAAGGTTAAATGAGTTCTTAGCCATATAACAAATCTGAACCTGTGTGAAAAGTTAATGTGTAGACAATGCATCATACCAGAAACGCATAAGATTGAATAAAGGGCTGACAATGCCAATGTCTCAGGTATCTTAATAATACAGACAACAGTACTGCCTACATACCTAGTTCTTGTTTGATTGTTTTCATAGCCTGTATGCCACTAAGGATCTTACTGGGCTTGGGAGGAGCTTGGTTTTAGCATGGGACATGAAACCCAATGCCTCACATAATACGCACTCTACACCGAGCTCCAGTCCCAGCATTTGGAAAGGTATAGTTTTTAGTAATTCACAAGGTAAGTGAGATTTTTCTTTAGATTTTATCCTTATTTCATAGACCTATCTATGGAATCACTTAAAAAATCATAAGATATATAAACTCAGTGCCTCACCTTTACATTGTTTAAAAAGAAATTCTACCCCACAGCACCATTAAAAAAAAAAATCCCTGAGGAGGGAAATTCTGTTTCCCTGAATTGCATTAATAAAGCTTGACAAATTCTCCATAAGATGATGATTTGAAACCCATAAATTTGTCCAAGCATGGAAAAGAATCAGCTTTAAGAAATGGAATTGAGGCAGAGGATAGTCATAGCCCTGGTATTGCTGTTATTTCAGACTGCCCTGAATGAAAGCCCAATGAATGACACTGTTGCGACCTCTGACCAGAGGGGCGAAGGTCTGAAGAAGAGCTTCAAGTGACTTGTGATTGCGCATCCTTGGGTCCTCACTGGGTACCAGAGCAGCAGCTCATTTGTTGCTTGTATTAAGGGTTAGCAACATAGAAAACAGGCCTCCACCAAAATGAGGAACAGTGGTGGTTGAGTTGAGATTTCAATTGATTGTGGTGTGTGTGATATAATGTGGTTTAGGAACAGGGAATTCTTTAAAGAAATGGTTTGGCCTCAACCTCAAGCTTCATGGTCAAAAATGAACCCTCTGAATTCTGGTGCATTCAAAAGTAAAAGGCAGTAAAAATGATCTCATGACAAAAGCTTTTACAGAATTCTATCGCTGATAGAAGAAATGAAATGTTTAAAATAAATAGCCATGTGCTTGAGATTCTTAACAAAAGAATGTTTCTTGGATCAATCTGTTTTGAGCACATAGAAAATAAAAGATGCTAGAATGGCTAACAATAGAGTTCTCTTCTCAGCGAGACCACAAGTTACCTCTTTTATTTCTGTGTCTTTGGATGAACAAGGGGAATTTCAAGTGATTTCAACAGTGGATGAAATGTAATCCTCTCAGCCAGGGCCAGGCTCGATCAAGCATGCTGGGTAATTCTCCATGATGCCAGGATAGTGGGCAAAAATCCCAGGGGCAAGCAGCCTGGAAAAGGCTGAGTGCCCCTACACCACCAGGCCAAATTCAATGACCTAAGCTGTAAATGAAGGTTTAATTTCAAATTGTTTTGTTCCCAGTCTAGCCTTTGGCAGAGACAGATCTCTGAAGAATCTGTTTCTAGTTATTTTAGAGGTAGAAATTAAGTTGTGAAAACCACATAGGTGAAAATAAAGTTGATGAGTCTATTTCTTTCTGCATGATGAGGTAGTAGGAAAGAACAAGGCATTTACTTGGCATATGAGACAACTTGACACTTGTCATGTGTAATCCTTTGAGATATTATCTTCTTTCACAGATTAGGGAAATGACAATGGGCATTAATTTGTTCAAATCTATTCCTCGAGCATATGACAGAGCTAAAGATTTAATTCTTGACTCAAAGCTTTCTTCTACACTTTCTTCATACCATAAGAGATCTGGTGACCAAGATCATCCAATTCTGAAATCCACCCTCCACCTCTGCAGTTCACTTGGACAAAACCAGTATCAACCTGTCTCAAAGGGTAACAAAGCCAATTTAAGCTACCGACCTGGGACAAGTCACTTTCTCTGAGCTCCTCACTTATGAAATGGAAACGATGACAAATACCTGACCTCACAGGTTGTTACACAGTTCAGACAAATTATCTGTATGTACTTGTAAAAGGCATGTGAACTTCAAGTGTCTTGAATAACTCAAGTAGCTTAGATTCAAGTTACACTTTGGACTGAGGAATGTGCTCTAAACATCTCAGAGATTGTCATTTTCTTCCCAGGAAGGACCTGGTGGGGTCATAATTTAGTTTTCAGCTTGTTGACCTTAGGCTACAAAATACCAACCAAACCTCACTCCGAGCCCTTAGGACTCCTACATTTCTGGAGAGTTTGAGGCACAGGTCATTCACTGCCTACAGATCACTTCCCCTGTAGTATTGTCAGACAGGCCTTGGAGACATCTGGCAGGCTCTAGACTGGGGAGCCAAAAAAACATGCAAACCTAGGCACCACCCAAGATGTGTTAAAGCATGCATTTAGACTCATCCCTCTTATACCCACACCCTCTTCTTAATACAGGAAAGAACTCAAACTTCATTTAGTCCTGTCCTTTATTAGGCACCTAGTGTGAGGGAATCAAAGGCATTCTGAACTCTGTCACAGCATCCCAGTTCCAAAGAGACAGAATAAGAACTGTACATCACACACATACACACACACACACACACACACACACACACACACACACACGCATGCACACAGATGCATTCATACACACACACCTCGCAAAGACACTATACTGCACAATTCAGCCTCTCCATTAGACTTTCCGAAGGCATCAGCTGTCTGTTTCATCCTCAGCTCTTCAGCTCCTGTACCTCTAATAATCCTTTGAAGCTCTAAGGCTCTTACTTAACTCCTTTGAAACCCATAGCTTTAGCAACTCCTAACCCAGATACTTTCTACTTCCCAACCACAAGCTCTGTTGTAATATAAAGATCCTATATCCTATTCCTCTCTGACATGATGAGAGATGTAGAATACATTCTAAAGTATTTCCCAGGACTGAAGGCACTCAGAGAAGACTCTAAATACAATTCTAATAAAGGTGCTTTCAGATCAGATGTTGATGTTTATGTCATAGGGATAGGATAAGAGCTAAGACATTTCTATTGCATAACAGCTACCAACCCAGTTCCTATGCCCAAAACTCAGGATAGCAAGAAGGTTGAGGGTTATACAAATAACTTGAAAGGTCACCAGGAAAATAATGCCGATATTTCCATGCTATCTTAAAGCTCTAAAGTTCAACTTTTGGAAGTTGCCTGCCAGAGTTAACCAATTTTAACAGCAATGCATTTTGACAAAATTGTTTTGGGTCCCTGCTGAAACAGCCGTGGATAATAAAGATAAGTGTATGTGGTGTTTATGCCAAGTGTTGTTCTAGCTGCTTTCCGTGCATTAGCTCATGTATTCCTCTTCAGAAGTCTGTAAGATACATAGAGAGATCTTTGTTTTACAAAGGAAAGAGTGAAGACATGTACCTGACCATTGATTGTACTTGAAATACTTGTGGTCCCTTGAGAATACAACTGTGAGGGATTTGGCTGTGCTTAGCAGTTCCTGTGGATAACTCAGAGCAGCAAAAGCATAGAAAACACATTTTAGAAGTTGGACATCCTGGCAGTTGGGCATTGAAAAACAATGAGGACTGTGCCCTTGGGAAAATAATAATAATAAAAGGGAGAGGCCAGCAAGAGCACCGCTGTAAGATTCAGTGGCACTTGTCAGGGCTTGGCTCCTGGAAGGCTTGTGGCCTGTCTGAGACCAATCAGTGTGGCTGAATCTCAAGGCTTTCTGAGAGAAGCAGACGGCAGGAGGGAAATGATGACACCTTGGGAAAAAGAATCCATGAGAGTTTTGGAGATGAGGATTGCTAGCAATAACTCTTTGTTCCAGAAAGTATCTGAGACAGCTGTGTATGCACTGGAGCTACCACAACTGGAGACAGAATTCCCTGGAAATATGCCATTTGATGCTCAAAGTAAAAAATGGGAATATTGGAGTTACCGGGACATAGAGACAAACACAAGATAGTGCCTTACTTCTGAAGTCTGCATTCTAGTGGGTGAAGAGAAGCAATATACATTAGTATAACTTAGATATTGATAAAAAAAATGTGTAGAAAAAGAGTCACTGAGAGTAATGGCCACCAAGGCAAAGAGGAGGAATCCTCAAGGGACAGTCCTCTAGGGCT